GCTACGTGTCATGCACTCCCATATATTATGTATTCATATACCAAAGTCAAATCAATGTAATATGACCTAATGAGAAAGGCACTCTTTAAAATTTTAACTTAATGCTAATAGAAATTAATGGTAGATGCACCAATGCATCGTTTGGTTCGGGTAATGTAATTACTGATTCGTTATTTAAAGCAGATATTTAGAATTGAGTAACTTATTTACAATACCGATATATGTACTAATAGTTTTCAGGTATGTAAGTAAATGTATGTAAAACTAAATAACGTTTCTTATTAAATTGTAAACGATGTACCCCCTTCAAAAATATCTTAACCGATTACCGTTAGGTCCATAATTTTATCACCACTCACTATCGTTGCCTGAACAGAAATAGATACACATGTTAAGTGAGGAATGTTGGCTCGTATATTTCAAACCTTTTCTTTTTAAATAACTTGAATAAAGGAATATTGGGTTGGAGCGATATGCTTGTACTGTCATGGTACAAATTCCCTGTCACAGTTTCTGAGAAGGGTCACTCTAAAAATTAACAAACCCATGGAGTTAATTTTACAGTTACATAGTTGGACTTTCTAAATCTTATAAAATTAAGTCATCCATGGTTCAAGTATTTTTCTGGTCGTATTGCTTCTCAAACTCTGACGAGGAATCAAGTGTGCATGTCCGTTTTGTAAAGCTGATTAGTTATAAAGAACTATTTTTTTTAATTACACTATAAAAATTCAGTTTTGACATGCCGTCCTACATAGAAGCGTCACCTACATCGCAAACCTATGTTAGAAAAGTGGGAAAGGTTTTTCGTAAAATAAATCCATGCTGTTGCGGATGTTCAATTCAGTGCGGGACAAAAATTATCGTAATTTTGCAAATGGTAAGCTGAACTGGTTTGGTGGATATATTTCTGATTAAAGGCTGATTTAAGTCGCTGTAAATTTATTAAAATCCCAGCTCATTTCCTTCGTCTTTATTTTCTTCGTAACCATGCATTTGGTTATGGGGTTTATAGGATTTGACGGGACAGGCTGGAAAAGTAAGTGGTTTATATTTTGAGTTGGTTACAGTGTCGGACAGATGTCTACGTCCACATAGTCGCGTCAATTTCATTTTCAAATTGTCACTGAACTACTGAACCAATTTTCATCATTGATATATCAAATTCTCACAAATTTAACGTAATTTCATAGCACATTATTAGTTTTCCGCTAAAAAATTTATTTTAGGCCAGAGATGTATTTTAATTCAAAATGAAAACAATTGGATGGACAAAAGTCAACGTCCAGTCAGAGAAAACATACAAAAAAAACTGTAATTTATAAGGAATGTTATAACAATTAATTTTTAATATTTGGTTGGGCCTCCGTTCGCTTTAAGGACGGCTTCAAGGCGTCGAGTCATAGAGTTTACCAAATTCTTGGTCACATCTTCAGAAATGGTTTCCCAAACTTCACGAATTCTGGATTTTAGGCCCGGAATTCCTGAAAAAGATTGTTTTCTTATTTCTCTTTCAATGTGGTCGCACAGATGCTCAATGGGATTCAAGTCTGGAGATTGGGGAGGCCATTCTAGCTTCGGAATTTTTTTTTCTTGAAGTATTCCATGGTGGACTTGGCAGAGTGTTTCGGATCGTTGTCTTGTTGGAAGGCAAATCGTCGTCCAAGTCCAAGTTTTCGAACAGATTCCTGGATATTACGGTCAAGTATTCCCTGGTACTTGTATTGGTCCATAATTCCGTCAATAAATTCCATTTTTCCTGCCCCACTTGAAGCCGTGCATCCCCACACCATTACCGACCCGCCGCCGTACTGTGGGGTTGAGATTTTTTGGATTCAAAGCTTCTTTTGGATATCTCCACACTCTACGACGCCCATCTGACCCACAGACATTGAACTTTGACTCGTCAGTCCATAAAATATGTCCCAGAATGTTTGTGGCTTGGAAATGTGGTCTCTGGCAAACTTCACTCGTTTGGTTGCATTCCTCGGTACAATAAGAGGCTTCCGGACTGCTCTGTGGGATTTCAAATTTCCCTTATTCAGTGTTCTTTGGATGGTCATAGGACTAACCTGTTTGCCGAACATCTCCTTGATCTCGGTAGATAGCTTTGGAGCACTAAGTGAGGGTGTAACGTTGACTTTGTTGAGCACGTGGCGTACTTCTCGGTGAGCCAAAATGGGTTTTCGACCACTTCTGACCTTGTTTTGGACTGAACCATTAGCTTTAAAGTTCTTAATGATTGTCTGGATGGTTGTCCTTGCTAATTTATACTTGGTCCATATTTGTCTCTGCGACAGCCCCCTTTTTGTCCACCCTTCCAGTCCTGAATGACAAGATCTCGAATAGCGATAGGAATTTCCTTGCGTGTCGACGCCATCATATTTTTCTGGAAGAAAATTATTTAAAAATTAATGCGGCATATGTTATTGATAGATTTATTAAGTTACCTGATTTTATAAATTGGAGAGATTTTTGTTGTTGACAATTAAAGTGAAGTGGACGTAGACTTTTGTCCGCTCAAATTTCATCCTCTCTCGCTCTGCACTATGATTCTCAGTTTTCCCAGAATTTTCAGAAATAACTCATATGTTTTATGAAATTACGTTAAATTTGTGAGAATTTGATATATCAATGATGAAAATTGGTTCAGTAGTTCAGTGACAATTTGAAAATGAAATTGACGCGACTATGTGGACGTAGACATCTGTCCGACACTGTACGTCTAAACTTGGATGTGGAATTACTTTGACTTTTGATATCTATACTTACAGCGATTTTTTTCTTCGCCTCCATCCTTTCCTGGTTTACTGGAAAGTTAGTGCTGCATGGGTTTTTGTATAAGGGGATTAAGGACGTAAGTTAAATTTAGAGTGAATAAGGCCTCATTTGCATATTATACATATGGCCAAATAACTAAATAAATATGCATTTTTTAAGGCTTAAATAGCAGCTTAAGTAAATACCAGTGTTTCGATTGTAAAAAACCTGTTTGGCGTCACATTAACACATAATTTTGATGTACTACTAATAAGTAGATACACATTTCGAAACTCCTATGGTTGGAGTTTTTTAATTAGACCTTCTTTCGTTAATCAATGCATAAAAAAAAGGGTGTAATTGTAAGAAAACATATCGTTGTATGAGATGACGGTTACGTGTTGCGAAAAGCTGCTTCGTGTGAATACATATGTTACCATAAGAAATTATAGTGGGGTTGTGACAATTAGAGAATTTTTTGTATGCTTCCTTTGTCAACAAGACGGTCTAATTATAAAATTCCTACCATATTATCATGTGAGAGTAGATATATTTTTAATTGCTTCAGCCAAAAATCTAAATTTTAGTTTATTTCCTTCTGTTTTTGTTTCCATAGGGTAATTACACTCTGATAACCCGCGCTTGGAAAATCTGCATTTGGTCCGTAATCCTTAACGGTGTGATCGCAACCGTGGTTTTTCGCTTCCTTGAAATACCACTTTCGCCCACGGGGGAAATTTTCGACGTCATTTTGGAAGTCCTGAACCTATACTCAATTTGGGTTGTGTTCTACTACAAAGAAGAATTGATGAGGGGAGCGGATTTTACGGGGGGTCATGTTCAGAGAATTGTGTGAACTTGTGCCCCCTTGTGGCAAATTTTTTGTTAGAATTTATTTGCTGGGTTATGGTGTAATTATTTTCTAAACACGATAAGAATAAATTATGTATAATATGAAATGGATAAATGCATAAGTAAATTATATATTGATGGGTAAAAGTTTTGTTGGGAATAATAAATATATTGTCCAGTCGTACTCCAAGTATCTAATATCGCAAGTAGAATGTTTACATTGTCTAAAAGTTCTCGAAAAGGTGTACATTCATTAATGAGCCGGTTAAACGTTTTGTAAAATTAAGCCCTTTCGTGGAACCCACTTGAAGATGGGTGAGTTTAGAATGTGCAGATAAGCAACTGTCACCAGGTTAGTGTTAACGCCCACCCATTGTGTATTTCGATATTCAAAAATATTATTAAAAATTCACCGATAATAATGAGTTTAAATCAATCAACAACATCCAACCCTTAAATATGTACAACATTAATGATCAAATAAGAACAAATGTCTTATGATATGTAAATAGATTTACAATTGACATTCCTACTTAATGCTTTTGACTTGCTAAAATCACGACCAGTATCTGAATATTTATAGGTGTTACTAAAATGCAGAATGTGCTAAAGGGTCAGGTTACGGTGAAGAAGTTTAGAAATTTGCTGCATGCATTTAAATATATTGACCGAAGACTTTTAGAGATTCTATATATAATTGCGCATAACCGATAATACCCAAAAGCTCCTCCGATAAATATCTGTAAATTAAGGCAATTAGCAAACTTACTGTTGCATTTTGCATTTTCGTACATACACAACTACACACATATATATGCATAAAAATCAATGTCAAATTTAATATGTAGCTTAAAAAATTTAGCGTATTCTGTTTGTACGATTTGGCATGCTTTGGAATATAAGACAGGTTTATTTGTTAATTGAATCATACTGATGAGTATGTACATATGTATTGGTTTACAAGTGATGTGTCAAATCCAATCATTAAAATTATTAAGCGCATCACGTCCCAATTCTGAGTTACACAATATAGTCAATGGCAATTTGTCACGATTGATTAAATATTTGATTGATGAGAAATACCTACAAGTTATATCCAGATATAAATCCGATGTTAAGTGCATAACAATGCTTGAGGGTTTTTTTTGCCACCTAAAAAAAAACCTTGATCTCACAAGCTGGTAAAGAACATACACAGTGATAAATCTTGTTAGTGAATCTTCCCCCATGCTGCCGGGGTCGTGTACATCACCGTAGAAACAATGCAGGTAGACAATGCCAATTTCTTTTTCTTTGCCATTTCTGTGAGGCATTTCAACCGTGAAGCAAGTTAATCATCTCTACATATTCTTTAAATATCTAAAGCATTAGTAAGATGCACTCAACGTTCGTCTTATTGATAATTACTTCGGTTTTGGTTTCCATAATAATTTTGATCCTCCCATTTCTGTGTTTTCGTAGTAATTACAATGATACCACAAACTTCAAATGTGACGTGAATAAACTGGATGCAGAAATTGTTAACAAGTCCAACCAGAATTTCAGCATAAAGGATCTTGATGTAGTGGGTGAAAATAAAATAGTGGATTTTAATCGTCTTATTCTCTACTTGTCGAATAAAGTTGGAAATGAGGTTGCAATTTCTGCTGCATATGAGAGTCTGGATAATGAAGTGGATAAGCGAATATTTGCAACCGGGATGAAGATGAAATATCCAAAATTAGAGCAAATATTTAACAATTTGACTGACAGAGAGGAAAATGTAAGTTGAAATGATTTTAAATTGGAACCTTATCTGGTTCATTTATTTTTAAGTTTATGGTATAAATTTTATTAATAGACACTTTTTTAAGGATTTTCGCAGTTCTTGGAATTTGCACTGATTGATTAGTTTTTGTGTGATTTGAAAAATTGGAACGGTTTTGAAAACTTTGGGCAATAGCAAAAGTTTTGCGTTTTTGAAATCCCTGTAAAACTGATCGATCAGTGCAAATTTAAAGAACTGCGAAAATCCTTAAAAAGTGTCTATTAAAAACATTTCCACCATAAGCTTGTGTCAAAACTGCGTAATTTTAAACCTACTTCAGATTATTGTGCACCGACGCAAAATCGATGAGCAGTTGACCTTTGCAAACAATATCTTCAACTTTGCCATAGCTGCCATTGTGACGGTAGCGTTCGCCATACTTTTGCCACAACAAAGGTTCCACGGGTGTATTCAGTTCTGTTATGTTGCACTTTCCCTGTTACTTCGTACTGGCAAGATTATTCAAAATTGGGGAATAATTGCGAACAGAGGATTGCCCGGGTATCAGTATAGCACCATCTACTTGAAGATTTGCCCGTTTCTCAGTTAATCAAACATTAATTTATCTTTAATAATAGTCGTAGTCTAATAATATGTCATAAATGTCTAATTTTCCATATAGGTACTTTTGAAGATTTCTTAACGTTTGCTCGCCTGATTTGTTTGACACTGCTTGTGTACGATTTATGGAAAACGTTTGGGTAAAATTTAATAACTCCATAAATACTTATTACAAGATGAGTGTGTACCTCAATTTGCGCCAATGTTAAAATTTGAGTATGCTGCTATGGTCAATGTACAAAAATTTGAGCTTTTTAAAAATCTGTTTGCCTGTCTTCTGACCTTGATTTCCAGAGAGAGTAGCAATATTTTGGAAATATGGGAATTTGTAATTGGCCTAATTATCCCGGGTTTCCAAAACAGTACAAATTTTTTAAATTGATCAACAATTGAGTTAATCGGCATATTAACTTTTTAAGCAAAAAAGCTCTTTTTTATATCGACCATAGTTAGGAATGTGTGAAATATGCATCAACACACCTTTAGTTAACAGGATTAGCACTTTAATACTGTAATAAAATTTCCAGAAAACAACTGGTCCTGCCACTGAACAAAGTTGAGGATGTAACCATTACTGGCTATTTTGTCACGACAATAATTTCATCAGCTATCCTATCTGCTGGAAGACTCATGCTAAGGATTATGCTAACGTAAATAGATATATGCATAAGATAATAATTTATACGGCAGTCACACTATTGAATCAAGTTTGGCAATATTTTGTTGCTAATTCGGGGTTAATTTGTGTCTATTTATTTGAAGTCTTAATGTTGTCCTAATTTTATTTTCCAAGATATTTATGGACGACTAAATAAATGTTGCAAACCGCATTTTAATGTCATTGTAGTCAAATTTTTGGGATAATTATATATTATCATAAATCTTTACAGGGGACGCCCATGTGCACCGCATCAAGGTGACCTTCACTGGGCCTCGGAAACCTATGCGGTCATCACGAGTGGCATATTATTCACAATCAATGCCACACTAGTTGTTCTCTGCCACATCGAAATGAAAAATCGGAAGGACGACAATAATTTTGTAGTGGGGAAATCAGCGACAAATATTCCTGATGGGATGCAAAGGTTTGTTATCTACGGATATTGGTATACCTATTTTATAAATTTTGTTAATAAATTGGTTTTTGTACAGGTTAAGAATGTACATAAAGGTTCTGCTCCTTCTCTTCGTCAGCAATTATGTGATGCTTGTGGTAAACTATGCGATGAGTTGGGCAGAGGTCACGACTTACACCGACCCGACGTACATTTTAATAATTTTGGGGAATCTCGTCTGTACCCACAGTTCGCTTCTTTTGTTAATACTTCTGTCCCAGCAAGCTGTTCAGAGGGGACTTAAAAGCGTTGCAAAATATTGGGAGACAAGAATAACAATTCTGAAAGGTGAGTACTTAGTTGTTAATTGTGGTAGCATAAATATTGTTACTTTTTATATGCTTTTAACGGACTGGTTCGGTCGGCAAGGTATTGGATGAAACAAATGTCACTTCTGTCTTAGCCCAAATTCAAAGGATTTGAAATTCGAATATTTAATAACGGTTCACTCTCGTCAATTGTCAACAGTGTATGAAAAACGGAGCTGCCGTTTTCTGGAAAAGCGGCATGCGTTTTGTACTGCGGGTTTGCCGAATTCCCGTTTTGTATAGTTTAGTAGGTATTCAGCATGCCGGAATAAAAACGTGCGCGGCAAGACGACAGAAAAGTCATGCCTTTTTGTCGTTTGGCCAAATTGATGTTTTGCTAGGAAAACATTGACTCTTAACTGCCATCATAAACTTGATGGATGTATGTACATTATGGTTGACAAATTAATTAATAAGTTACTAGCTCTTTTACTTAACTTAATTTAGCTAATAAGATTTAAACTAATAATTGCTGAGCTAGCTTTATTTTAGCGATACACTTAAGGTTATCTTAGGTAAGAATTGTGTTGAATCAGCGTTATTGTATATCGCGGGAGTGATAAATAACAATAATAATAGGGTTGTATAAATATAGATATTGCTAAAAGTTTGTAATTTATGTTTGTAAACTTAAATTTATAGATTCAACTTTCCATGAGAATGGGGACGCGTTTAAGAAAACCGTGAAGCATTGCGTTTACTGGATCCAATGGAAGTTGGTGGGGATTTTGTTGAAGTTCTCGACATTGTGCGATTCTGTTCTGCATTTTGACTGTCAGAAGAATAGAGGAAAATAAATAATGCCTTTTGTACGGATGAGGTTGGAAATTCAAATTTATACGTAAAGGGTGGGCTTAAAGTTTCTGAAAAAAAATTAACTTCAAAACATAAGTAGTCAAAACTTTTTATTGCGTGTATAGAATATTATAATTTTTTGTACGATTATTAACTAATATTTAGAGTGTCCGCCACCAGCTTCCAACATTTGTTCAATGCGTGAATTGAATGACTGTGCCAAATTTTCCAAAACGGTAACCGGAATGCTTTCCCACTCATGTTGAAATCTTCTGAATAGCTCAGCGGTTGTGGTTGGATACGGCGGTTTGTACGCAGAATCCTTAACAATGGACCATAAATTCTCCAGAGGATTCAAATCTGGTGAATTTCCGGGCCACACCTATTTCCCCCACACTGTCAAAGGGAGCGCCTCCAAAACTTTGGTGGTCACTTTTGCAGTGTGTGCTGGTGCTCCATCTTGCTGAAAGGTGACCTTCTGTTGTTGGGGGAATAAAGTTGGGTCCTTCATGGATTTAATGTAAAGTGGGAGGATCTTGTCTTTGTAGTATGCAGCGTTTACGGTACCTCCACTTATCATATGCAGCTTTGTAACTCCTTGAGCACAGAAGCCACCAGCTACCATAACTTTTAGACCATGTTTTGGGGTCAATATTTTCGGGATTTTTTTCGGATCAGCTGTATAGTATCTTTGATTTTGTCTGTTACCAGTTGGTGACACCTCCAGCCAGGTTTCATCCGTAAGAAGAATGTGAGAGCGTTTCTGCTGCGCCCGTCTGTCGTCACCCAAATATCCCGTTCTCTTGACTGTTTCGCCGAATTTTAATCGGTCCTGAATATTTTTTTGAGTCAGAATCTGTTTCTTAGGTCTTTTGTAAGCCGTTTTGCCCCATTTTTGCTTTTTTACGTAATTTCGAACCGCAGCACGACTTATTTTCTTCCCCTTCTTTTGATACCTCGCCGACTCGTTCAGCTTCTTTAGTGTTTTCCTCACGGATCCACCAATTTTCTCCTTCAAATTTCTTGTTATTTGCGATTTTGAAGTAGGGGAGAGTGCTGTGGGTCGGCCTGACCTTTTTTTGTCCACCACGGTACGGCGACCTTCCCACAGTTTGACCGTATTGTAAGCAACTCCTAGTTTCCTCGAAATTTGGGAGGCACCATATCCCTCGCTCAATAGAGTTTGAATCTGCACCCTTTTCTCTTCTCGACTCCTCATATTGTTGGACTACAAGGGGAAAAAAGCTTTGTTTACATGACTCTGCTGGTTTCCGAATAATATTAATTTTTATGAGGCGAGCTCACCTGATTTCACTCTTTTCAGAAACTTTAAGCCCACCCTTTACACCTCATATTAACTAAATCCTTGCCATATTCGTCTACATAAATAAACAGCAATGAGTTCAAAGTATTTAAGTTTTGATTAACGGCAAGAGAAGGATCGTCATTTTTAATAGATACATGGGGCAGCCATGGACTCCTAACTTCTAACTTATACTTAGGACACATGATAATTTAACTTCATACAACTTATAAATTAGAAGTCATAAGTTGACATATAAATATGAGTTAAGTTACATGTGGTAAGTTTAAGTTATTCGTCCGTGGATGCCCCAACTATCTAATATTTATTTACTATGTGTATACCAATGCATGGATCAATTTCAATTGTGCGACCTTGGTTTATTTACGCATAACTGTGTACGATTGAAAATATTTGGATATCATTATTGCACATCGTCTAAATATATACGTAAGTGGGAAATCTGAGATGTTTATCATATTTATATGGAACAAATATAAAAATAATTTAGTTGACAAATATATCTAATAAAGGAACATATTAAAGCCCAAGGTGCCAATGTTTATGAAAGATGTGCGGAAGTTATTAACGTTGAAGGGTAATACCTTTACATATTCTGGGAACTGGTCAAAGGAAGTTGAATTATGACAACTTTTCTTTAAATATTGTATTCGAGAGTATCATGATTTTATAATGTTGCTGCAACCATTTTCTAAAATTAAAAATAAATCTGATAATGCATGAAAAAAAGAACCTACATATTAAATAGACATTGAGCCCTTTTTAGAAAGAGAAGTAGGGTTATCACATGGTCGTTACTATAGTAATGTTTTTACAATGGTTAACTTCAGGAATGTATGTACCTTAACATTAGAGAAGAATTGGAGTTCTTATCAATAACACTGATAACGGCACACAAGAGTATACAGGTTCAATTGACGGTTATCAGGCATTGACACGGATGAGGTTTTACTTTTAGTGCATGTACTTATGTATTACGTGCCTTCATTTGTAAGCTACAGGTAATCTGTACATGGATGCAACTACTGCGACGAACTTATCATCAATTGTGGGCATACTAAAGACTTTTAATGTAGACTCCATTTTGGAACCACCACAAGCTAGACTGCCACACCTTTAAAGTATGAAATCTTCTATAAATTTGGTGAAAGAACAACTCATTTAAAATAACAAATTGAATTTTAATTGGTCTAATTTAGGTATACTTAAACTAGTGAATATCTGGTAAGTGAATCAATATATTTAAAAGCTCTTTCGGGTCCGATTCGTTACAAGTGCTGAAGGGGCGATGTGATATGATTGCATAAAAATAATATCACAATGTAAATTTGTTACATAAATAAATTTGAGTTACTCTCGAATAAGATTCGAGGGTTCGTGAAATTCAATTATCAAGTGCACTGTTTAGTCAATCCCAAAGTTAAACACTAGGCCAACAAATTTTGGAGATCAGATTTTTTTCGTCACGGGAGAAATCGCACAGGTTTTCATAAGATTGCACTACATAACCCAGGACGAAGACGTTCTTGTCAAATATAATAAGACAGTATGGTCGATGTAAAAATATTAGAGTTTTTTCTACCTGAAAAAGTAATGTTAAAATACTCAATGTGACCTATATCGTTGACCGATATCAAAAATTTGAACTGTTTTAGAAACTTTGGACAAATGGGTCCATTACATATGTATTCACAGATTCTCAAAATAAGACCACACCCCCTAAAAATTTAGGTAACAAAATATGTTGGATTTAAAAAAAGCTCTAATATTTCTACATGGACCATAATCGAATTTATTTATAGCTTCATGTTTGTCAATTGTCATAAAATCGGGCTTATTGCTAGTCACAGATATATATGTATATAGTTAACATGTTGTATTTATTGTAACAGGCATCGCCCCACCACCACTTCCAAATCCAAAATTTTCTTGTCATCACATCCCATTTGGAGATGAGTCACTAATTACAATATTTGGATCTTCTAATCATTTCAGCTTAGGTGTTACATACATAACTAGGAGAACGCTGTGACAAATTGAGTTCCGAAATGGATACTGTTATCGATTATGCGGCCGTTGGAAGCGTTGTCAAAATTTTGAATGAAGACCCAGAAATTTTTAGGCACCTTGCGACTGTGATGAATCTTCTTGGTGTGCCCGTACCTGACCAAATACAATTTACTAACGGTTTCAGTACCAACACAATTACTGGGGATGAGATATTACGTAAAGTTTTGAATAGATGGGTGTGTTCAAATGGGGACGGTGCCACATTCCTCAAATTAATTCAGCTCCTTAGGGGGAACAATTTCACTAGAAGTGCAGGTAGGAAATTAGCATTGCTATACGTTTGTGGTTATAAGTATGTAAATGGTCTGACGGTAATAATACTTCCTCGGCTGGTACTATCAAATTGCACGTTAGGGAACAATAATTATCGTTACCTCAGATTATCATGGATAAGAACAATTATTTCGCGTCAATTATTAACTGTAACCAAAATCTTAAAAATGTATGTTGGTACCTTAGCCGCCGTTCGTTCTAGATTATTAAAAATTTAATAGTAATACTTATGTATTTCATGAGGAAATATTGTTTTACTTAATTTCTAGACAGCCTACAGAATTCGGAAAGAATTAATTATGGGAATGTCGACAACAGTACTGTAGTAACTAAGAAGCGTAGAATTGAAGAATGTGTTTCGTTCTTGCCTTTTCCTAAGCCGGATGAGAATTTCACTGGAAGAACTCAATTCATGAGTGACGTTATCAGATGTCTCACATCATTTGGGAGAAATTCCCGCCTTCAAATCGATTTTCCATTAGTCGACCTCCATGGCCTGGGAGGTCATGGGAAGACACAAACTGCACAGATGATCGCGGTGCGTTGCATAGAAGAAAAACTTTTTACCGGTGTGATTTGGATTGATGCCGAGAGGCAATCTGAAATAATAAAACAAATCAGAGGTGAGTTGGAAAATCAAGGACTTAAGGAATTTGAAGGAAATAACGGGATAGTGCTTGTCAATAAACTTTATGATTTCATAAATTCTAAAAGTCCTCAAAAATTTCTGATAATATTTGACAATGTGGCTGATTTTGAGGAAATCAAGAGTTATTTACCACTTAATAAAAGTGTTGGTAATGTCGCAATTTTAATTACATCGGTGGAGAAGATTGCAATTCCAAGTGGAATGGGGAAAATTGGCACTTATAGAGTGGACATTTTAGAAAAAGATGAAGCAAGAGAATTGGTGGTAAAAATATTGACAGGTAAATAACACTTTTTTATAGTTAACCGAAACTTGCTTCTAAGGGTTATGTGTTCGTTTCACGAATTAGTAATCATTTGTTGCCAGATTATTCGTATGTCGATTAATATGTACTTAAGTTATTTAAAATCACTTACTTTATTACAAGTTTGTGCATCTTGTCCAAAGTTTTGTATTAAAATTGGATTTTTCTTAAAATCTAGATTCTGTTGTTTACCTGGAATCCGAGATTTCCCTCCTTCTCACGCAATCTGGACGAATACCAGTTACTCTCTGCATTATGGCTGCAACTATTTCTAAAATCAGTACAACGCGACCCTCAAAATATACTATAACCGAGTTTCTAAAGGAAATGCAGGATACATCAAAAATATTGAGGTACCCAAACAGGGAATATAATCTGAACATGCAATATACTAAAAGTTTATACTTCTGCGTCTGAATTGCCTTGCACAAACTACAAGAATCCGAAGATTTGTATGCTCCTCTAGCAATTCATATCATTGAGCGATATGCATACCTATGTAATGACTGCTCTCTGGATTATTTTCGGAATCATGTCACTTATAATGAACACCATATACAAAAAATTGTAGAGAACAGTTTCGCCGCACTCGAATCGATTGAGATTTTGACAAATGCCATGAGACTCCTGTCAACATTTTCCTTGATTACGCACAGACACAGAGATTGCAGATTTGGCATTAAAGTGGAAATGCATCGTTTGGTTCAAAGCACATTGGGATTAATACAAGAGGACGAGGAACGAGAATACGGAATACTGAGTGACCTGATTGACTGTAAAGATTTGCCAAATTCAACGATAACCGAAAATAAGTGTGGACTGTACTGCTTCACTTCAGTAGCACTGATTTGGTCGAATCCCTCGAAATATGAGGATCTAATTTCGTAAGTCTCATTAAGTCAATGTCGTCAAATAAGGTATGTTCAGCAAAATAAATATTTTATATTTCTTTCAGGAAACACTTCATGGAGAAAGGATCCTTTGTAGCACTGGTTGTAGAAGGATTTTTAGGACCTATCACAAAAATCGTAGAAATCCTCGGGGAAAAAAATGCAGCCAAGAAAATACTAATGCCTGATTTGTGGTACAGTGTGTTTGACTGTGATTACGCAGTACCTGAAAATGCACTTGCAGCTGCTCTAGGAAATGATTTTGACGAGGTAGGACGATATTTTATTCGATTGCTAAAAGCTAATCGGATGGATATTGATGAAGAAGTTTGGAAGACCGGGATAAAGCGCGCTCCAGAATTTTGCATAGAAAATCCTAATCTCGACGTGATAATCATACTGATAACGGAGCTCAAGTTAAATAAGGACTTTTTGGTAAATAACAAGGATAGGATTGATTTAATCAAGTTTGCAATAACCCATGGAAAAATTGCAATTGCAAAGTATTTGTGGAACTTGAATTCAAATCCATTAATTGAAGATCTGCTTGAATCAACTATCTTACACACCTTGGCATTTAACTGGAATGATGGTGAAGCGGACTCATGGTATTACTTGGCAACCCAAATTGTCTCAAAATATCCGAGACTGATATACAATAAAGATAGCAGCGGAAGACTACTTTTCATGACAGTGGCTTGTAGTGGACAAAACAATGCTCTAACTTAT